ATAAGGCGGTGAACTCAACAAATTACCAAGCCCACAAGTCGAGGAGCACCAAGTCCACGACAAAGTCTTCATAAACAGAGCCCAAGCAAAAAGGCCGTGATGTATCAATCGACTTAGAAAAATCGAGAAGAAAAGAAACTCCTGAAGAAATATGAAGTTTTTCTATTTGTCTTAGGGTTTACTTTAGCCTATTAAACTAGTATATATACTCATGTAAATCTCTTGAGAAAGGGATCCGCAATTTTACTTAGCAAAAGACTTGTGATATTGAGAGATTTCAAAACAGCAATAAAAACTACCTTATGACCTTTGTGCTTGTGGTTTCATACTTAGAAATTTCGGTTCTCGTATAAATTTTTGACAAATTCAATTGTGCTAGTTTCGACTCCTGCAATCAACTACAAAATTAAACATGCGAGGAAATAATAACTTTTTATTCGAAGAGACAAATAAAAGAAAAATAAGAAAAAAAAAAATCTAAGAGAGTAAAAAAAGCTTTAGTAAAAAAAAATTACTGTGCAAGAAGATTATAAAGATTTTGAAATATATTTGGAAAACAAAATATCTTAATATATAAAGCGGGTGTGTTTAAAATAAACGGATACGTAGGTAAATTATAACTTACCAGATTACAATAAGTGTTAAACTTAATTTAGATCGTGCCAACTATCAAATATTTTTACTTTCAAATGTTTTCCAAATTAAAATCTCAAAAATGCTCATTTTATGAAAAGGGAATATTTTGAACAAAAGAAAATCATAAAGTTTTTCATTCTTCTTTACCGATATCAAAAACATTAAATGGTAAATAGAGGAAAAAAGAAAAAAAAATGTTGCTTTGAACCAAATAAAAATAACATTTAAATCAATTACCGTTTTATTAATAACAGGATTCTAAATTCGTAATAGTTCACTAACCAGTATATATAAGATGCATGCATATGCATTGCAAAGTACAATTACATGTGTAGCTGTGTATATTTGTGTAGTGTTTAATTTCTTTACTATGTCGATAGAGATTTTTTATTGAGAAATTTTATAAAATACCACTTTTCAAGTGCCACTTTACAAAAATACCATTTTTTTGAAATATTTATAAAGATGCCACTTTTTCAAAATTATTTTTTCTCTATACTATTTATGTTTGGGTTAATTATGTTCTATTAGGGTTTAGTTACGAATGTTTAGGAGGTTTTAGGGGTCAAAACATTTTTTAGGGGTCAAAACATTTTTTAGGGTTTAGAATTTTAAGATATAGGTTTTATAAATCTATAATTAATGGCATTTTTGCAAATGAACACCCCTAAATGACATTTTTGCAAATGTGCACACAAAATGTGACATTTTTGTAACTATCCCTTTTTTTGTACCTTTGTGTAGAGATATATTATTAATTATTGGAGTATAAACATAATGTATAAACTAGATGTGTTCCACGTTTGTGTATTGCTCAATATATCTATTTATATAAGAAGTTTGTAGATGTGTATGATTTCCTATACATAACGATGCTAACATAACGCAAATATGTAGTTCAAGCATAATTTTATACACACTTACATGTCAATTCTACAAGTTTATATAATCCATTTTTTTACTGTATATGGCTATTCTTTTTCTTAGATAAAA